TACTTTTCTTCCGGTTATTTTCTTGTTTCACTTTGGATTATATGCAATAATTGTTGTATTGTACAGAGTATTTACATTTAACACTTGTGAAAGTGCAGCTATTGAACTTCAACAGGTTAGTTTCTCTTATCCAAGAAAGTATACAAGGAATATTGTTTAACGTTATCATTTTTTTAGGAAATACAACAAGCCGTAAAGGATCTTCAAAAAAAAGGTGTAACTTTACGAGGGACTAATATCTCTCTAACTTCTTAGATGTTAAAATACTTCCTGTAAATATTAAAATAAAAAATATTGATTTTTTACATATTTGTAAAATTTATGACCTTATACATAAATACATAAATTCTATAAGGACTATGTATGTGAAGATGTATCTTTTTCATCTTAAATAGTAAATTTTTAAACTTATTTTTATTCTGCATTAATAAATATCGAAGAGCATATGTAACATTATCTAGATGATAAAAAAATAAACATTTTGATAAAATTTAATATTAATGCCACTCCATCTATTAAAAAATATATATTGAATACATACATTCTATCAGACAAAGTACCTCATATCGTGCTTATGCATTTAAATATCTTTGTATAAAATATTTATAGCATTCGAGAATAAAATCAATGCAGAATTCTCTTAAAAATAACTTATAATATAATGAATTAACTTTTGCATTACTATTTGTGTAAATCGTAATTTATTCATTTATGTTATGTATTACAAGTGTGTTGAGCACACAACAGAGAGTGTTGTTTTATAATAGCAGAGTTCTTCTCTATTAATTTTTCTATTTTCTTAGAAAAAAAGAAGTAAAATACTTGAGTCAGCATAACAAACAGATTAGAATTTTATGCAGTTACTACAACTCTCCAACGAATAATTTTTTTTTATATTTTTGTACCAAATATATGTAAGAGCGATGAAAATTCTTTAAATGTTTATTATTGTTTCAATGATATTAATAAGTAACCGTATTGTACAAATTTCTAGAATTCAGAATTTCTTGTGTAAAATGCATAAATACGTACATACGTATGTATGTAATTATGTGATACGTATAAATCGTGAATTGTTCTTTGTACAAAAAAAAAGAATATTAATACCACTTATCATTTTATACTGCAAAAAAGATACAATCAGAGATGTGACATTACAACGGTTTATAATAATCTCACATTCTCCCATTCTAGCTTTAATAAAATTCCAATATAATTCCAATATACACAACAATATTTTTAAGGATTCATAATTTTAAGATTATTCGATAGATACATAGTGTTTTAACTATTTTACCTAAATTACAAATTCTAATTGATTCAATAAGCAAAAGTTATCTCTATTAGCAAAAGTTACATGTGAAATTTGTATAGAACCACAAGAAAATAGATTGAGAATAAAGTTATATATGTAAAAAGTTATTATGACAAACTGTTACAATTTATCGAATTGTGATCTTCTGTCTAACATCGTTCAAATCAATTTTTTTTATATTACCATTTAAAAATAGAAAATCTCTTTGTACATACATACATAAATACGAATATACGCAAATACACATATCCAAACAAATGTGTTCTATAATTTTTATATCAGAAAGCCAAGAAATGTACAAAATGCATTTATTACCTACATGCAAACATTTAGATATGTATAAAACATACCTTAACATGAGAGTGAACACATCTTCAGTTTATATATGCTCGACCCTCAATATGTAATTACTGCAAGGTATTCTTTTGCAGAGTAAGGCTCGTAAGGCTTTCTCATATAAAAATGCAATTATATTTTTTTTACTCCATATATATTAAAGAAATATAAGATCTTATGGTAGAGCACTTGTAGGCTGTAAGGATGGATTTCATAACACCGTCTGCTGTAAGCAACAATTCTTTCTCTCATAAACATGTGTTACATGTTAAATGAAATATGGTTTTAAAAATATGAAACAATGCTTAAAAGAGTTGACATATATGTAGTTATGGTATGCGCTTATCCTTAGATTCAAACGCTTACCAAACACACCAGAGTTTTATCTACACAACAAATAAAATAGCATAGATATTGTATATCTATATACAAAGTAAAGATGATTATTGTAAGGTAAAAATGATAATGGTGCGATCATCCACCCTCTGTCAGTCCTATTTTTCATTTGAAACGCCGCATAAGATTAGATGAGCGGTTCAGTCATCGAGGTTTTGCGAAAGTAGGAAATTAGCAGCAAGATTTTCATTCTTTTCACATGCGAAATACGCTTGTACGACTAAATGTTCTGGGAAACCTAGCGCCTTCAACCTTTCGATAGCATCTCTGTCCTGTGGTGTTATCTGTATTAAACCAGATCCTACGCCCGTTGCTGCACCACCCGTACCAGCTCCACCATTTACAGCGCCTCCCGCCGCGGCTGCAGCTGCAGGTGCTACACCACCTCCGGATGTTGGCAAAACTCGCGCCCCCGTTCCACTAGTTGGTTCCACTGTACGCAAGAAAAATGTAAGAGAAACAAATTATATATAATTATTATCAAATAATTATGAATTATTATTAATTTTAAACAAGCTGAAAATAATTAATAATTATAATTATTAATTATTATTATTTTCAGCTTGTTAAACAGAGATTTTTTTGAGCATATACGACTAAACTAACCAGGTTCATTGAGCATGCGTACAAACGCTTCCTGATTTTGAGAAATGAGCTGTAAAAGGGCAGGATTAGTGGAACCGATTTGCTGAAGAAGATTGTTGAGCAGCTGTGGATTTTGTTGAATGACTTGACGCATTTGCTGAAATTGTGGTTGCAAACGCAAGAAGGCTAAGGGATCTTGACTTTGATCTTGAAGTTGCTCTTGAGCTTCCGGTGGATCTTCAGGTGGATCCTCAAACAGTTGTGCTGGTATACCTGTCAGAAGATATTCGACAGCTCTATCGGGGTTGTTAAAACTCGCGCGTAACGCTTGTACAACCTGTTCACGTTCGTACCTGATTCAAATATATAATAAAAATCACATAAATATTAATTTAATAAGGCAGATCACTTTTTTCTTTTTATACATTACATACCCCATATCCATGATGTTGTTTACCATTGTATTATAATCTTCTCCCATTAGCAAGGCACTTTCTGCTTGACCAGCTGCTGGTGTAGCTGCCACAGGTTGCTCTTGCACATTACTAGCTGCTCGTGTAGTATCCTGAACATTAGGGTTTGAACTAGGTTGTGTAGTCGCCGAGCTAAGACACAAAGGTCAAAATAAATGAGATATATCACAATTTGAAAAAGAAAATAATTCGTACGTGTGTACGTGACTCAGTTATCATTACTTGTAATCAATAATTACATACATAATAAACATTCTGTAATGACGTGATTTATTATATTGCGAGTGTCTCCAGTTTACCTAGTGGATTCTTCCTTCTTTTCACCCTCTGCATGCTGCTCTTCGTTTGTTTTAGGTGTAGCGCCAGGTTTAGGCTTTGTTACCATAACAACTATAAATTTCTTCTCATCGATATTATATTCTGTTAAAGGTTGCTCATCTACTAATATTTTTCCTGCAAGTGTTCGTGTAACGTTATGATCTCAAAAAGTAAAGAAAAACGGTTGTAAACCACATGCCCAAATTGCAAACATAACCTATGCGCATTTTTGCAGTATCATTCTTATTCTGAGGAGCTATATTTAAACAAATGTGAACAGCGAGACTTTCGGCACAATCAATTTTAACGTAGATTTTCTCCCAGCTTCATCAACGAATATGCCGGGCGCTCGCGGAGATCTCGGATAAATTAGGTTATTTAACTGTACTCTCTTACCAGCATATATCAACTTTTGATGCTCCGCGGGGAAGCCTTTCTGCGTTTCGATCTTCTCCTTGAGATCCTTAACCTGATAATAAAATAATATACAAATATTTCAATCATAAACCACTCAGAAAAGTCGGCTTCCTTTCCTTCCTCTCTTTCTCTCTTGCTCGCTCGATTTTACTTACAGTTTGCGACGAGTCGATCTCTATCGTGAACGTCTGTTGCTGTAAGTTTTTCAGCGTTATAATCATATTGCCGGGGATGGTGAACTCGCGCGACGTACGTCAAGCAATCGCAAATTTAACCCCGCGTAGTCCTCCACGATAAGAATAAAACGGTGTTTTGATGGAGATTTTTTTTCAGCGATGAGTCTGCACTGCCTTAAACAGCTCGCAGGTGTATGAATGTTAACACTTGCGACAGTGTTACGGAAAACATATGATGATGAAAGATCTAGTAACTGCTACCAATCGCAGTTAGGCTCAGGGGATCGATCATGTAATTTTTCCCCTAGGGTGGAAACGTGAAAAATGAAAAGTTTCACGTGAACTTACGATCATGTACGATTTTGCGGGATCATGTAACTCTCTCAAACGTGAAAATATGAAATTTTTCACGTGAACTTTTTCGTCATGTACCTTGGTGGTGGAAAGGCGGAAATCTAGGGAATTAATAAATATGCTTCGGAATTAAAGAAAATTAGCATTAGGATTAAGTGTACGTAATACATACATATACAATTGGTTATTAAAAGATGTATATAATACCAATAAAATAATTTTCATTAGCTATAAAACCTATGACTATATTTCATGATTTCACTTTCCACGCATCCAAGCTACATACATAATCGCTGTACGTG